CATATTAAAATGGCAGAACAGGTTTGAGGAGATGAATTGCCTACTCCTGCTCCCAGTTCTTATGTTTACCATACATACACAGTCGGCAAACCACACGCACTGCACTTCACATTTAACGTTAAAAAAGGTTTAGTTGCAAAACTGATAATTTGGGAAAATAGCAACTCAGGAACATGACCATTCATTGAACACTCAAAATATCTAGAGATGCTGCTACTGCCATGGATACTGAACAATTAATCAACTGTGGTCTCAGGTTTAAAATCTAATACCTCAAAAACTTTAAAGACTCAAACTACAGAGGCATATTTTGCCTCATGTGTACCACTTTTTCTGGTGTGCTGGTGTGTTCAGACACAATTTCATTATTCTTTGCCGTGTCAGGGTAATAAATTCCTTTCACTCTAGAAAACCTTAAGAGTGATATCTGTGCAAACAATAAAAAAATGGCTCGATGTGACCATGGGAAATGGGTTAAAAAGAAGCACTTCCGATTGCCCCCTTGTCAATATGCCCAATGGAGAAGATGTCCAAATTAGCAGTTACGTGAAATGGAGGTCGACTGCTTGGCTTTTAATTTTGGTCTTAACAAATGCATATCCTCTGCTTTTACACACCCTTTGAAGTTGTACCCTTTCTTTTATACTCTCTTTCCATGTGCTTTCTCCCAAAATCTATAACTTCACACTTATCCAGTGATGGTTTCTTTGATATGTTTTGAGGGGTTTTGCCTGGTCCACAACATCCACATTGAACTTCATCTGCCATCTATTATCAACTCTACTAACTTGTGTTTTGAAGTTTTACACTCTCATTTTGCAGTAATTCCAAGTTTTGGATTGTCTGCAAACTTTGAAACTGTACCTTGTACACAAAGGTCTAGACCACTTATATGTCAAAAGCAAGGGTTCCATGCTGACCGTGGGAATCTCTGCTACAAACATTCCTCCAACCCAAAAAATATTCATTGACCATTATTCTGTTCCCTATCACTCATTTTATTTTGTATCCACATTGCTACTGCCTAATTTATCCTTTGAGCCTTAACTTTGCTCAATAGTCTGGCATATGGCACTGTATCATTAGTCTGTTCGAAGTCCATGTACACCACACCAGCAGCATAACCCTCATCAACTCTCTCTATTACATCAGCTAAAACCTTCAATCTATTAACTAAAGACAATTTTAAGAAATTCATGCTGGTTCTCTTCATTAACTTTTAATTAATTAACATCTGCCATCCATATAACTATAAATTTTACACTGATTTATTATTTCTATAAGTTACCCCAAAGCTAAACTGACTGGTCTACAATTGCTGGGCTTTTCCTTATATCCATTTTCAACAAGAGCAAAATGTTTGCAATAATTTTGGTCAGTGCCTTCACAAACCAAACTCTCACTTCCTTAAATACCTTTTCTGGTTTTAGTGTCTTGTCAAAAGCTTATCTCATAATTTTGAACCTTTCTTCGTCACCATAGCTTGGATCGACATCTGCTTCCAAGGTAAATATAGATACACCTCAACCATGCCCCCTGCTTCCATACATAAATCCCCTTTGTCTCGTCTCTAATCAGCTGTACTGCTCCTTTCACTACCCTTGTTATTTATCTGCTTATAGACAACTTTTGTAATTCCCTTTTATATTCTCTGGCAGTGTCTTCATAACTGCTGTCTTATTTGTTTGAACCTTTTGGGACATTCTTTCTCCAGCACAACATTGCTCTTTAGCAATACTGTCAAAATCCTCAACTGCTTCCTTTCCAAACTTACCTGAACACCATGCATCCATCCAGGAATATTTAACATCCAGTCATAGTCTTCCTTGAGCCAAGTTTCTGTAATAGCCACGCCATAATTATTGTTCGCAATTTGCATCAGCAACTCACTTCATTCACATACATTCAACGTAACCCTAATTTAGAATGTGTTAAATTCTTTCTTCTGTCTTCATCTGTTAACAATTCTCTATTCTAGTGTTACCCATCTCTCCCAATATTTGGTGCACCCTGGTATTCACTTCAGGTTCCCACACCCCTACTTAGTTTAAAGCTACCCATAAGCAGCAGCAAAATACCCCACTCAGTGCTCAGTCCTAGCATGGTTCAGGTGCTTTGTTCTGGCTTATAGAAGTGCCATCTCCCACAGAGCCAGTTGTAGTAAAGTTCTCCTTCTTGCACTACCTTTCTATATATTTCTGTTTTATTCTCCTCGTTCTGTACTCACTTGCACACAGCACTGGGAGTAATCAGGAAATTACTACATTTAGAGTTCCACTTCTTAATTTTTTACCTAGCTCTCTAAATGCTGACTGCAGGACCACATCCCTCTTCCTATCTACGTCACTGGCATCAATGTGGATCATACCTCTGACTGATCATTTACTCCCAGAAGAAAGCCCTGCAGCTGCTGACACCTCAACCCTGCAGCAATATATCAACCTGTATATTCCCATAACTAATGAAGATCCTATTCACTATTGCTCTTCCAACATTCTTCCTTCCCTTCTGTAAAGCGAATGGACTTGGCTCTTGCTGCACTCTTGACACATCATTGTCCCCACCAGTATCCAGATCAGAAAATCAATTACAAAAATAGTTTCAGGGGCTCAGCACTAGCAGTCCGGTTCTCTTGTACTGTCCACCCATTCCCTATTTGTCTGCATCTCCTTATCCTATGATGTGACCACCTCCCTCAGCATCCCATCTGTATTCTTCTGTTTCGTGGACGGTCCACAGTAACACCAGCTGCCACTCAAACTCTAAAACCCAGAGCTTTTCTGCAGTAACACTTCTAACACATCAAGTGTCCATAATTCTCCACATGCTACAGGATGGACATTTTGTCTGGTCAAGCTCCTCTGTCATACCTTGAGTTTAATTTTAGACCTTTTACTATAAACTGGAGATTAGGAAGTAGAGATTGAATTATTCACACTTACTCACCAAGCAGATTTTTGTCCTGTGCCTACAAGTTAGATATTTGAAGGCAAGAGTAAGAATCAATTCGTACAAGGCAAACTCTTTTAAAATAAAGCCAGAGGGGCACCTCTTTCTAATTCTGACAACTTGAACTCCCAGCACTCCAAAGTCATGTTCCAAAATACTTAAGTATTACAAATGATTGAATTACAAATATCTTTTATCTTTCACATCAAAATATACAGAATTTAACAGATGATCTTGTCGAAAAAAAAATCTTTTTCAACGTATGTACGTCAACTGATTTAAATTGTCTGGGATAGCACTATACTATACTGACGTAGCTTTGAATGAAATCATTTTGACTGTAAGCAGACGTCTTGAAAACAAAACCTTATTATACAAGGATGTTTAAAAATTGAAGCAGATTCTTGATCCACTTCAGGAAAGTCAGTAAAACAAGGCAAGACAACAGCAAATGTAACAGAGGTTTGACAGTCCTAGCAATGATAGCATCATTAAAAAGGTAAGAATGGAAAATTGACAGAACACCATAAGTTACAAACTGTAAATCTGCTTCACTTCACTCGTTTAAAAACATACTCCAGTACCAACAAACTTGGGTACATGTAGTATTATCTTTATTCAAAAAGTTGCTGACACAAAATTGTACATTGATTTTTTTTTGCTGACTCATCATTGCTTACGACATGGCAGATAGGCTACATTTATTTTCAAAAGATAACTGTTATGGGGAATGGTTCCGTGTATCATTCCGAGCACATCTTTGTATTTAAAATTTGTTAAAAAACAGTGCATGTAATTCTTCATTCCCCCAGCCCAAGGGAATACTTGGACTTGTATTTATGTCTTCGATGTATCATCTATGCAAACTACTTTGGCGTGAAGAAATCTATTATCATGTCCTGTATTCAACACAGTTACAGTACTTTGCATTTATGCACAAAAGGGCAGGCCACTTACTTTTACCTCCATAACATTGCCCAATTCCAGCCCTGCGTTGGCATATTTGTTCCTGAAACCTTCATCCATTCCTGTTACCCTGACTATTCCAATGGTCTCCAGGTTAGCCTTCCAACTCTCCTTAAACTTGAGCTCATCCAATACCCTGCAGCTTGGATTCTAATATGGTACCAAATCCCTTTCATCCTCTCACCTTAACCTCACTGACCTACACTGGCTTTAGTCAGCAATACTTTGATTTAAAATTTTCATACTAGTTTTTAAACTCCTCTGTGGCCTCACTACTCCTGATCTATGTAAATTCCTCGAGTTTAACAACCCTCAGATATCTCTAATTCTAGCATGGTGAAGGACCCAATTTGAAATACTCCACCATCAGCAGGTGCCTACGCCCAAAGTTTGAGAAGTTCCTCAATGTATCTCTACCTCTTAATATACTCCAAGACAAATCTGAAGATCTGCTCTCTTCAAGTTTTTGGTCATTCACTCAAGTAACATGTATGTGGCCAGTGTAAAATTTTATTTAACACTTCGGCGAAGTTTTAAAAGCAAGGTACATAAAAGCAAGCTTGTTTCAGAATTAAAAAAGAAGTTTTTATATCTATATGTACACTTGCAGTTAATGATCTGATTGTGTGAAGGAAATGAGGAACCTTGTCTACTACAAGCATCACAAGAACTGTTGACACTCCTTGGAAAATCGTGTACATTTACCCTGAGATGAGATTCCCCCACACTGCTAGCTTATATTCAGCCTACAATAACCATCTATGACTACTGTGTTTAAGATCTTTCGGAACAGATATCAGATGCAGGGTTTTAGATTTTTGTGTTGTCCAATTTTACAAACCTTTCTTCTTACAACTACTGATTACCTTCCCAAAGCAGATTTATATTTTGATTCCTGAAAACTGAATGAATCGGAATAATGACTCAGATTGATTAGCTAGTGGTTTATGTTACAAGACATGATATAAACATAAAATGCACAACGCTTATCAATACAATGTCTTGTATTTTCAATAATTTATGCATTTGTAACAAATTGTGTTTGCATTGATACAAAATAAAATCAAGCACTCATTGTTTCAGAATTTACAGTGCAATGTGAACATTTTTAATTAAATGAAAGTTTTAAACACAAGAACTTATCCCAAGTACATATTTCAATAGTTACTATTCTATTATTACTCATCAGACTTGTAATTCTCAGATGGAATATCACAATCGGTTTTATGCCAAGAAGTAAGCTTACATACAAACATCCATCAGTGTACACTCAGTGGTGTGGGTACTTAAAACTGCGCACAACCAAACTTCTGATTATTTAAATGGGCAATTAATGTTAAATACAGGGAGATGGCATAAGAAAAATCATCAAATTCTTAGGTGGGCAGCATTAAACCTACAATTTTTAAGCACAAAATATCAGCAAAATCAACTGAAGCTCCCAATTGATAGATTTATCACTGCCCTGCACCTGCTCATTGAAATCTGGAGATTGATTACAATTTTTAAAAAAAATTCTGCTCTTTCCTTAAAGAAAGCAACATCTATAAAGGTCTGACCCTAAACACAATATATAGATTTTCTTTTAAATCAATTCCATTCAGTGAGAAAACATTCTATGGATAATTTGTTATCCCCATTACATTCCTAAGCAGAAAGAAATTTACACCCTGCCACATACAAAAACCCCAAATTCCTCCTTTTTTAATCCTTACTGGTTTGATTTACTCAACACTTGATTTTTTTGTTTGAGATTACCAATGTACACAAAACAAAGTTTCACAAAACAAAAAACAAAAAAAAAACTTTATTATAAAACAATATCTTGCCTTGAAAAGCACGTTTTTCTAACCTTACCAACCTTATAAAATGGTTATTCCACTGTAATCATAACTGTTAGAAAACCATGACAATTTAAAGGGGCATTTTAAAATAGGCAGAACATTTACAAGATGTAACCTGACTAAATTTGTTTGGAAATACTGTAATTTATGCACAACCTTGTGCAATGGAAAAGGTACAAAACTTGCTTCTCAAAGCAAACAGCAGTATGCTTAAAAACTGCTATAGTATTTCGAGAGTTACCTCACTTTAACAAACCAAAGCACAAGTGACAATTCAACGCGATTGCTGCTGCTTGTTTAAGAAAGGTCTTGAAACACCTGGATGCCTAACAGACTAATGGTGATAAGTGAAGCTAGTTGGGCTTCAAGTTAGTTTTGATACTTTGAAGTCAAAAGAACTATATTTTCAATTCTATTGCAGCAATGTGAGATGTACCACCTATTACACATTTCAAAAGATGCACGAACTGGGAATCATTTAACCAAGGAAAATTAATTATCAATGGCCTTGCCCCCTAGTGGACACAGCTCATTGTGTAGTTATCTGTTGTGACATCCAGTTGTTGTAAACTTTTAATATTCTATCTTCAAATATCTGATCTGCTAAATAATCCAAAGTGATGAGAAAATCAGCTCAAGAAGGATTTTAATCTTAACAGTTTTCTTGAACTTAATCTTCAAACACACAAGATACTGAACCGAAAACTGTCAGGTACTGCTTAGACTTTATGCCATGGCTACTTGTTATGAACCTACACGTGTGGAAGTGGTTCTTTTGTCTGAGAAGAAGCTCCTGAGGAGAACCACCTGGCCAAGACTCACGACCAACAAGATAAGAGCTTCACCTATAGACCAAAAAGCAACTCTTGAGTTGAGGTCCTCAGCACGACTTCGGCCTTGTGCTTCCCTTAGACGGAAATGAGTTTGGTAATCGATGACAGATTTCATGGCTTCATGCATTGTGACACAAGCTGACTCCATCTGTTGTTTTAAAAGTGAAAGCATAAATATGGTAAACAAAATAAAGAATCTGATTTTAAGAAAAATAGCTTTCATTTATATACATCAAAACCCATAAAATATACACCAAATTCTGGATAGTAAATCAACAATATTAAAACGTCGCTCACTTCAAGAAATTTTTAGCAGCGAAACTACTGCACCAAGTCTTAATCACATTTGTTATCACTATGTTCTGTTAAGCTTCAACTTCTTACAAAATAAATTATTTTCACATTTACTAAAGTTGATTCATCCACAATACATTGAATTAGTAAGCAAAATATGTTCCAAACTGTGTGTCAATCAACAATTTAAACACTTGAAAGTACTATTAGCAATAGCTATTTTCCATTGAAGTTTAGATTTGTCACACACTGTCCAGTCCTGCATCAAAGCACAAACATGTAAACCGTAGCAGTTAGTTTTGAATATTGTATATTTCTTAACAGAATAGGAAGAGCCGCTTTAATGACCTTATTTCAGTCCAATTATGTTTACAATCACTATCACAGGTCAAAGAAATCAATGAAAATAAGTATCCATAAAATCTAAAATTTTAACTTATCATCCAAGTAAAATCATTCATTTTAGAACCACTTCTTGCTAATACTGTTTCCAAAGTTCTGTTGGTAGTAAATTACAATTCCATCCTCTCTCCTGATGTGTTAAGTAGGGATGAGAAGATGAGTTAGACCAGTTTCAAATAATGTTCTAATACTCATTAAGGTACTATCCCAGTGGATATCTGATAATACCTGTGTATTAACACACATAATTATAATCAAAACTTTGGGACATTAAAGTTTGCCTACAATTGTCTTGCAGTAATTGTCTAGAAAATGTTTTTAGGATTCTTGAACTTTATAAAACCAAAAATTTAACCACTGATCTTTAAAGACACAAACATAAACATGTCGAAAAAGATGATATGCTTATTGGAAATGTGTATAATTCAACTGAAAATGTCATCAAATTTTATTTTGAAACTACAAATGCACAAGGGCTCTGTTAACACAAAGTATTGAGCAATGAGTTTTAACCCCACAGCTTATGTTTTATGGATTGGCTCAAGAAAAGTCAAGGAGATGGGAATTAGGAATTGATTGTAGGTGTATTGTTGAAGGTGGGGGAAACACACTTACTCCTCTTGACCCAGAAGCAGTGGTGTTTAGGCTGATGGTTCCAGCTCCTTTCACCTTATTTAACCTGCATAATATCCCAAAGCCCAAGAGATTCTGACAATATAAATTCAAATTAAACCACAAAATATGATGCACAGCCTTCTTAAAAGGCTTCAATGACTAATCTGCAGCCCAAGAGCAGACTGATCTCTGGATCCTCGCTTTCCTCCTGTTAAAACCAGGAGCAGGCGGGCAGATTCCTGTTCAGACTCAACATTTTGACTTGCCCCATTCCAAGTCCACCCATTTAAAAGAATTAAAATTAACCGGAGATCTTGAGGGTATTTGGAAAACAAAAATCAACGTCGTTTTTCATATAATTATAGGTTCACTCCGTTGCTTCCAGAGATGAGGGGTTTATCTTATGAAGACAGATTGTGTTCAGCTTGTACTCTCGAGTTTAGAAGAACGAGAGGAGACTTAATTGTGGTATATAAAGATGATGAAGGGGATTGACATAAGCAGAGAGTGTCTGTTTCCCCTTGTAGGGCAATCTAGAACAAGAAGTCAAAGTTTTAGCATAAGAGTTGCAGATTTAATGCGGACATGGAGAAATTCTCTCTCTCAAAAAAGACGTGAATCTGTTGAATTCACTATCCTAAAGTGCAATGGATGCTGGAGCAGAGTAAAATTGAGGAGACAGACAGATTTTTAATTAATGAGTTGAAGGATCATGGAGCACGGGCAGGAAAGCAAAGTTGAAACCAAGAAGAGATCAGGCATGATTGCATTAAATGGCAAAGCAGACTCGAGGGGCTCAATTGCCTACTCCTGCTCACAGTTCTTATAACAACGCATGTGAAATTACTCTAATTAATACAGCAAAGTATATTATTTGTCCTCATTAACAAATTATAACATTTGTATCTTATTGGTGCAGGCTGTTAGCCAAGTCAAAATTATTTCCACAACTATTACTACTAAATTTGGCTATATCTGAGACTTTAAAGGAGACCGGCCAAATTGAAAGGAATTTTTTTTTGTTAAAACTTTAATCAACTTGAAATAGAATCTATTAAAAGTTTCAAAGAGCGTAGTGCTCTAGTACCTGAGTCAGTGCAGAGACTCTGTTTTCATTGGGAAACAAAGGAGGGTCATCCCCAACCTGGAAATCAAAATACACAGTTTTGTGTGTGAAGGTGGAAAACTCATTGCTGAAACAGAACTTATACGTTCCATTTTTAGCAGCTGTGAAGGTGAAACTGTCATACTGTTTCTTCATCTCTTTGTACAAAACTGCACCATCAGCATCCTCTAGCCGACAGTCAACATCGTAATGACCACCAGTAATGACCTGTTAAATATACAAAAGTTTAAACAATTTAGGTGCATTAAATTCACAAGTATCAAGCTATTAAACAGAAAATGTCAACACAAGCATAAAATTTTCTCAAAAAACTTTACAAAGAAAAGGTTTCTCCAACTTGTCGACTTTATTTCGGTTAAATCAGGAAATGTTGGAAACATTCAAGAGGATAAGCAGCATCTGTAGAGAGTTAATGTTTCTGCTCAATCTAAAACATTTACTGTTCTTCCTCTGTACAGATGCTGCTTCAGCTACTGGCCTTACTAATTTCAGAGATAGTAGGAACTGCCGATGCTGGAGAATCTGA